TCTGCGTTTGGATCAAATCTTTCGATACGATTGGAAGATCAGTTATTATTAGCTACTCAAACTCCCTTGGTAACGGTGCAATGGTTGTTGGACGGATGATAAATGTGTATTTAAAATTCGCCTCTGAATACTCGAATAACCTAAGACTGAATATGGTGGACGGCAAGTGGCATCATCTCTGTGTGGCTTGGGGATCTGCTGGAGGCTTGTGGTCGTTCTACAAAGACGGCGTCGTCTTCGTCTCTGATGATGGTCTGTACACTGGTAATACACTGCTTGGGGGAGGTTTATTAATGATGGGACAAAATCAGAATAGATTCCTAAGGAGAGATGCTTACCTTGGCTATATGGCTAATGCTAATATGTGGAGTGTTTTTTTGCGTGGAGCTGAAATCGAGGTAATGAGTAGTAGATTTCAATGACGTAAGATGCTCATGTGTGTTTAGGAACGCATATTGTGAATACGAGTTCGAATACTTAATGTTGTAATGTATGTATGTTCGTTTGTCTGCGCGCGTGTCGATTCCATGATACGAAGGGAGTTTAAAGCTTCTTTTTTATTTCGCTTGGTATGTTGTTTCTACTTTCATGTTGTTCACCATTGTAATATATACGAAAACCCTTTTTCTCGAATAACCTGCAACACAAGTATGGATACCGTAGTGTTTCTAATTATGTTGTTTGCCACATATCTCCGTTGACCATGAATACACAAAAACAAGTATTATATACCAATTTCAATCCTTCAATGGTACAACGTATGATAATCAGTTGATGTGAAGTTACATAGAATGCAATATTCGTGATAACCCCCTTTTTACTCATGAAATCGACACTTAATCACTTCGCTTACGTTACCAAGTTGTACTTAGTAGTTGTAGCTGTTCGAAGTAGTTTTACTACATACTGGCTCGACAACGTCTCAACATTGTTTTCAACTTCGTATACTCCATTACGTCATGGTAACTAACATTCAGCTCCATCACTTGCCAAATCTCATGTACATATATTTCGATAACTGTTTTTGCGATAATATTCATCCATATGAACGAAAACCGTCAAAATGAATAAATTAATGTCTATCAACAAAAGTAAACATACAACTTTCACCGACACTCGAAATTATGCTATCACGAAAAACACGAAATAGTGTGTTATTTTCGATATCATACCCATACATAAGCTGATTATCCTCGCATGCAAACAATGACATCATTAACTGCTAAGACGACAAAGTTGACTCTACATTACATGAGTATGTATGCTTACGTCTGAATGTTTACACTCTATAATAATAGCCCTAGCAGTTACCAAACTCTTTTTGAATTGAAATTCCAAATACTGACTTCATGATCCAAAAGATATCGCAATTACTAATGAATATGCGGCTTAATTTCTTCATAGGCGGTATACTCTGATTCTATCGGCGGCATATGTGGGGATATTATTAATTGGAATGAACTCACTTCAAGTGATCTTTATTCAGTGACTGTCTCGCCCACAGACGTGTTTGGTATGTATCACGTGACAAACAGTGAATGTTTCGCTGTACAGGACTCATTCATCATATATGCCACTCCGTTTAGAATATGACACAAATCAAATTTATGGGATAGAATCGTGTTGAAATGCATAACAACCTGGTATTAGACAACTATTGTCCTAATACTGTGGTCACATATGAGGTTTAAATCAAAGTGTGAAATATAGTTGCTAGAATACAAATCAGTTCAGTGTGACTTGTACATATGCTCTTACAATTTTGTTTTTCAACCCTGTGATAAGATTTCTCTCTCACACATATATATGCCGATTGTGCTAACGTTATTCCACTGGTTTGCAGACAAAACACCACCAGTGTATTCCGATGTTTGTCGCAAGTCCATGCACCTTACAACGCACCAAAATGGGGCATATCTTCGAGATCATGTGATTAGATCACGGACTGCCAGAAATGTACTACATTGCGCTGCGTATTGTCAACAGGTCGATGCGTGCGTGTCGTTCAACTTCTACTCTCAGACACGCTTGTGTGAAGTGAATGACGTCGGCAGTTACACGAATCCCGGTGACGTAGTGCCGATGGCTGGTGTGGATTTGTATGAACTTAACTATGAAGAGGTGAGTGTTGAAAAATGTCGCATATTCATGGCTGTATTAATATGACTATATAAGTTCTTTTGTAAAAACGCACTGATATCTTACGAAAATCATAACCATTACTATTTGTTTTCAGTACTACATACATGGTCCATGTACACCCAACCCCTGCAGTACCAACGAGATGTGTAAGTTAACCTGTGATGCACCCAAGGGGTACCAGTGCTTACCTATACAACAATGTGGTAGGTACAATAGCTTGTAGACATTTTCATGGACAGAAAAAAAATAATAATATGAGAATTTGTCTTTCAGAATATTGCATGAATGTAATTTTATCTAAAATTCTTAATTATACATTATCATATCATTCGAATTATGCGTCACCATAGTAACTGAGAGTTTGGGGATAGTTTATGCATATACTGTAAAATACTTTATTTTCGCTTGGAATTAATTTTCACTATTTTCGCTGCAGGAATGATTCTGTGAAAATAAAATCTAGCGAATATACCTTTTCTCCCATATTTTGCATTCAACTCGTCAGAAATCAGTGAAAATAAATTTCATACAAAACACACGAAAATTATTTTCAGTGAAAATTAATTCCAGCTAAAATAAAGTATTTCACAGTATTTATATCCTTATGCTTGAAACAAATATTTATTTCCTTATAATATTTAGCTAAACATAAATTCAACAAAGCGTCATCTTAATCATTTATTCATTGTTTTCCTTAGCTGATTGTACAGTGGCGCCTATACCAACAAACGGAGCAACATCGGGTGACCATTACCATAACCACGTGACTTCATTCACCTGTGATAATCCGTTCTCGCTGGTTGGTGCATCCAGTATCACGTGTCAGAATGGTACATGGAGTGACGATTACCCAACATGCGTTTAACGCTGTGTACTTGAAACAGTGTCGTATTATATTTGAATAGATTATTTTTAATTTATTCTGTCATTGTTATATAAAATGTTGATGTATTTTTATTATTGTGCCGAGAAAGAGTTTCGATGACGAACTGTCGCAAAGAACTGTGGGTAGTAACAGGGTAACACACAAATTTGAATAGATCAACGATCTGCCCCAATGAGGTGAGATGACTGGCTATGTCTGAGCGAAACGAGAGGCAAAAAGTCGATAGTAGCAACAGTTTGACATCAATTTGAGTTCCAGCTGTTTAAGCAATGTACAGGTTTAGTTCATTCAGCATTGTAAACCAGCGATGTCACGGCAAGATATACCGAAATCACGAGTAATGCTACCCGCAATCTGGAGCGACGGACACTTGTGGTAATTATAACAAAGTATCTACAGACATAATTTAAGAATTGCGATGCTTGGTACAGTTTATTTTGATAAATGGTACCACATTTAGTTTCATTTCTGAATTTATCACAAATTAGTAAACTCATTATAATTGACCTGTTATCAACAGGTTAATTGCTATAAAGTAAACCATTATTGATTGAGTGGTTCTACAACATGTGTAACATATTGTAGTAAAAATTAACGGTATACATTCCTGGTGACATACATAAATCACAAGTCATTCAATCTAATACTGTGATACAGATTCGTGGCAGTAAGGAACCAAAGCTACTGGATATCGAATATATTAGATAATTACGTCATTATGTATGGAATTTAATATTTGCAGTCTACGAGATCCACGAGAACGTAACAGAGCCATTTGCCTGAAGTTCTGTCACTGGATTGAGGTGTAATGAGGTTTGCTAAATTATAGATCATTTCAGAGTAACTATGTTAAAAGCTCATGGCGGTAATAAGTTGTAGTGAAGACACTTTTACTGACGCATGCATGTTAACCATCGGACATACGAAAGTAATGGGTATTTCCATGGCTGCCATGATGACGAATGTTATATGAAGGCTAGTTTAGTTCCGTTGAATGATTAATGTATGTCGCGATGAACTTTCAAATCAAACAGACCACAAGGCACGACATTCAGTTAGTATAACTACGTAATTATGAATTCGTAACTGAACTGTTCTTTCTATGGATATATAATGTTGAATATAAATGTATTTAATCGCAATAACATTCACGTTCTTGCGTATTAGACATACATCAACCAAACAATCAATAAATCTATTTTTCAATTTGCTTTTAACTTTTTTGTTCAAGCAATTCATAATTCCGCACAATTTAATTCCGCAGCACTCGTTTTACATTCAAATATTACAAATACGCGCACTTCCTGAGAATAACACTGTGCAATAAAAGACGCCGGCACTTGGAATAAAAGCGACACATTTAATCAATTGAAACTACACAATACATTGCATACAGTCTTATTTTATCAATATATTTATGGTAAATAAAATCAATCGTGCGAAAATTTATATTTGGTTAACCTTTAATGAACAGTTCATACAAATAAATAGTTGTGAGAGCACACACATATGCTGTCATAAACGTATATATAATAATACAACTTTGCAATAAACATTCATGTGTGCAAATGAAGTTTAATTCAGGTCTCGCCCATTCATATAACTACCTCGGTCATTCGTCCTCATAGCAGCTTTGTATTACCATACATCTTTTCATCCTTTCAGGATTTCTATTATGTAGCAAGCGCTAGTCACAATAAACTTACAGAATATACGTGTATTTTTGGGGAAATTAAACTGCAGTCATTTCGCGACAATCACAAACAATTCAACCATTCAATTGCTGTGCGTATACTCTAATATTAGTAGGAACGATTTGCTGAGGCCATTGTAATTAATATTTATTACAGATAAAACAGATTTCCCCCCATAAAACCACCATTTCATTTAAGATAAGGAACAGTCTTAGTACCATTCACCATGCAGGTTGCCTAGTACGTGATCACACAAATAAACACATTTCTTTCAAGTGTATTAATTTATTTCACTACAGTACTACATACATACATGATAGTTGGCTGGGCAATAGTCGTGCTATAACTAATATTGTCATATTTCATATTCTATTTGAGATTAAATCTAAGGTGCAATGTTATCATTAGATGGATATAAATAATTTCAACATCTTATCCTTTGCACCACAAAATGTCTAGTTAAATGTGTTTAAATATCTATGAATCGGCAGCATAAATAAAGCTAGTTGACTGGAATGATCCGTCAAACAACTTGTCGCTGCAATATTTTTTACTTTTCTTTTTAGTTCGCTAGTCTATTCCTTGTATTTTATGAACATGACATAATCGTTACTTCGATTTTATAATAACAACATCTTCTTCCACGTCATTGAACATCATCTCGCCATTTTTCTCAACGCAGCAATTTTTAAAAAAGTCAAGAAAAATCTGTTGCCTTTCAGGCGGCAGGTTTTGACGGAAATTCAAAACCTGGAAGATAAAATCAATTTTCTTATTCCCATCTATGGATTCCTCATTGAAGCAATCACTTACATTGACTGATATTTCACGGTAGTAGGACTCTATAGTTAAATCCACAATGGCTGACTGACATAATTTCTTAATATACTGTGTCCCTATGAAATGGTAACTGGGGTCGTGGTAGTATTCGCCGATTTTCAAATAGCAAGCTTCCCAGTTCCCTACAGGGAAAAGAATGCACATTATACTCCCGATACACTTAAGGAACTATTTAAAAAGGGCATCCGATTTACACTATTTGTTGATGTCATATTTTGCATCTTGTATCAATACGAAAACATTTTGTTCTTGTGCAATATTGTGTATCTAAGTCTGTTAATTGTAATTTCCCTGTCAGTTACGTGTGATATTAATGATATTAATTCGGGATTTGAATTCGGGATTTGAAAAAATAAAGGGTTGTTGTGTTGTGAATGTAGTTGAATCAGTACATTACCTCCTGTAGCTCTTATTAGAAATATACCGTGAGTATTCAGCATCCCATACAGAGTAACCAAAATATTACGTAAATCGGAGAAATGATACACGCTTTGAAATGCATGAATGATGTCGTATTTCTGGAGTTCATCTCTTTGATCTAAATAATCTTCTACAGTCTGTTGCAAAAAGTCAAAGGTTACTCCAGACCATTTACCACCATGTGATTTCACACGCTCTTTAAAAGCGTTTATTCCGCTAGCCACAGGTTCTATGACTGTATATGTTATCTTAGGATACTTTTCACAAAGTGTGTCAATGATGCCTTCGTCTATTGATCCTAAACAGAAAGATAATAATGAATTGTCAAACTCGAGTAAAAGCTTGGTTGAGTATATAACAAATACATTGTATGTTCCCAATGTAAATTGGCCGATTAAATGATATAAACTGAAAACTGGTTCTCACTGGTTCTTATTGCAAGAGGCTACGCCCGGCTAAATTAACAAATTAAATAAACAAAAACAAAACAAAACAAAAACACGAACTATTTGTTTGAGTCCATGAATGGACAACAAACATAGAACAACTGTAAATAGTGTATTTAAAACAATTCTGTACTTAGAAATAGTAGATTTAGAGCTATTGAACAAATCACTGAAACTGCCAAATTCAAAAGCAACGTGGACTCACATTTCTAAATATTCTAAGTTGTTAAACTATTGCGTTAATCTTCTCCAAGTCAAATTCCAATATTCTATATGGATGTACTTAGTGAATGGATGTATTTTAGAGTTAAACATAACACTTCGGATTTTTGAAACAATATTATTTGATATATTAATAAAGGGAAATTAGCTAAGTAATTTCTTTGGTGATTGAAAGGTATCAAAGGAGCGCATTGGACTGTGGGAAAATCATGTTTATCAACACAACTATCGCACATGCGCGGCGCGACGACAACCGCCTTTTAACCAGTGCATGGGCG